TCACTTTTGAAATTCAGCAAATTTGAATATGTAATTTCTAGAATAACTAATGTCTAGCCTTGATTCTCAAGTAAGTGTATTTGAGACACTATGCACCTATGCATTGCCGTTACCTCCAGTAATGCCATCTCTGAAGTAGATTTTACATCACATCAGTGCCAAACATTCATAACTGAAGCCTCATGACGTTTAGGCAACACGTAAAACTACAAAACGAGTTCACAACGTATCCTTTAGGTAGTGCTAAGTCAATATCTTGTAGAAAAACCTGCATAATGTCACAAAAATCAATATAATGTCACTTTTCAAGATACGTAATACCCGTGCCGACCTCCCATCCTAACCGAGTCGAATTTTGTACGTCCAGATTTGAGCAGTATGATCTCTCCGTTGTGCCTAGGGTGTTGAGATTGTGTGAGGGAGCTTTTCCCAGTTTCACAAACCTTAAGCTCGAAAGTCGGATTAACAAGGTGTTCGTAAGTCTCTTATAGCAGCCGGTGTCTTGCTTCTGCCTACGCTGTTGCCTCAGTACAAACAAAAAACTGGCGCTGCAGTTTTTGAAAGAGTTCATCAATTTATGAGGAGGAACATAGCTGTCTTTTCGTTTATCCAAGAACATCTTAGGTGATTTTTGCTTTATAAAAATCTAATTTTGGAAGGATTGTGGTCCATAGGCAGCGTTTTAGGCCCTGACAACTGAAAAGATCACCCACACCTTTTATGTTAGCGCTTGATTGTTTTTCGCAATTTTGGCACTCAAGTCCAAAAATGACCCATTTCCGTATATTTTCCTCAAGTATTTTTGTGTGAGCACATGGTCGCAACACTTCATACTCCATTTTTCTAATCAAACATACATATTATCTTAAATGAATATGTTCCTCCACTGCGCTCTCTACAAAAACATTTATTGAAATCTCGTTTAAATTGTGTATTGATTTGTTTCAACTATTGTTTTTCATGTGAGAGCATTGGAGCGACACTTCTATTTGTATGTAAGTATATATAATATATGTATCTTATAGCTTAGTGTGTTTTATTATGGATTTGAAGTAGAAAGTGTTGCGCCCATGCGCTCATATAAAAATAATGAAATAAATGTTCCAAAAAGGGCGAATTTTGGACAAAAATGCTAAATTCGCGAAATTTTGGGCTTTTAAAGAACAGTCAAAACAGCTCTGTCCTAAAATATTCAAATGCAATGATTTCATACATGCCCTCAACTTGAACTCTGAGTTACGTTCATCGCAGAAAACATCGCTGATCCTTTGCGCTAGTTGTATTTTTTTGAAACGAAGCGAAATATTTTCTAAAAATAATTCAAAGTTCTTGCCTCACGTTTTGGAACACCTGGTATGAATTCCAATGTGTATTTAAATGGAAATCTGAGCTGTATTTGACAAAGCACTTCCGATTTCTGCCATGTTATATTTTTCCTCCACAGGTATAGGAATTTGAAAAAATCCTCTACAAGGGCAAAGGCATAATGATATCGGAAATTGCAATATATGGATATGGAGCTCCTTTAAAAATATCAATATAGGATGTTTCAAAGGGACAGTGGCAGCATAGGGAACATATGTTACTAGCCCATCATTCAAACTCTGTTACACTGAGCATGGGTGACTATGAAACAGAATAGCCTCACGTTGATTATTACTTATTTATCAGAATTCTGCTGTCTGAAGGTAAAATAAAAACCGTTGATTGAAACATCAAAAACATCCGTTTCGCCGTGCCACTTTTACTACGGCCATGCTTTTTTCTTTATGATGTTTCCAACTTCTTTTCAGCAACTTCATAAAGCTGTCACTTCAAAATGTCGTAAGACTTAAAGCTAAGCATTGCACTTTGCTGATCAACGTCAAAAAAGGAATAAGATTATTTCGTGAAAAGGGATTCGAAAAGAAAGTTTTATGTTTCCATCTCAGTGCTATTCCACAAAGAAACATCATAAAACTTGCGAAGGGTTTTCAGCGTTGTAGATCTGGATAATCCTGAAATCTAACTAAATACGTATTAGTTTAAATTGTATGTTTTAATAGACCTATATTAACTCGTACTTGCGTAGAAACTCTAATGACTTATTTTGCCCATCTATCATGATAATATTTATCTTACACTGAAAGTCTCCATAGGTACAACAAAGTTGCTGTACTATCGGTTGCCGATATGAACTGATGAGTTCTTAGTTTAAGCGAAAATTAGAGTTGCAGACATATCATGATACAGGGTATATATTTAAAATAATCGTCATACTCTCGAAGTCTTACTCCTAAAGTAGGATCTGGATTTACAATTTCCATTGCAAATTGCGAAGTATTGCAGGAAAAGGAGCTTCAATGCTTTGCGGTCGATTAAAGGAAACAAATTTCCACAGTTCTACGCGCTGGAAAAGAGGAAAAAATCAAGGAAAAAGGACCAGCTGTGGAAGGTTCAGTATTGAATTACCTACCACAGCGGAAGGTAAAAATTCAGCAGATTCACAACATTCGAGTTAGACACTTATAATACCCCCTGAAGGTATCGTATTTTTTTACGAATCGTTGACAGTCTACGTGCAAGACTGTATAAGAGAAGCCAATGTTCCGAAAAAATGAGTTGCCGGAGAAGATTCCCTCAAGAGGTTGTGTATGTAATAAGGTAAGCATGGCAAGGGCTGGTAATTAGGTCGTATTTGGTATTCTTTTGCCGGTCCGGCAGGGGTACTATGTAACTTGAAAAGTAACATTATGTCAGTTGTTTTGAAATTACTTTTTTATTTCATTATGTAGGTTTTTCAACAAGACGTCAAGTTGGAACTAGCTGTTGTTCACTTCATGCTCACTTCATGCTCAAGCGTGGAATGAACTATTTGCACACTAGCCTACATAGTGAACAAGTTGACATTTTATCGTTTTTTTTGACATTATACAGGGTGTCCCGAAAAAAGAGTGCAATATTCTACCAGCGGTTTCTGGAGCTTAAAATAGGAAGAAAAGTTTATATAAACATAGGTCGACAAACTTCCCGTCCGAAACGTGTTGAGTTGATAAAGACATAAAATTTGGTATTATAGCCTAGTTTTTAATGCTGGATTTAAAAATATTAACAATTTTAGACAGTTTTGTTTGGAAACGTATGTAACAGGGACGGACTCAGGTTATTTTAGCCCCAAAATTTTTGTGTGATTCTATTTTTGAAATTCAATTTTAGAATTTGAAAATTTCTTAAATTCGCAGTACATTCCTATCATGTGACAAATTTTTCAAATATTCAATAAGAGTACCTTTTTTATGTAGAAAACCCTAAATTTTCAAATTCTAAAATTGAATTTCAAAAATAGAATCACACAAAAATTTTGGGGTTAACATAACCTGAGTCCGTCCCTATTACATACGCTTCCAAACAAAACTGTCTGAAATTGTCAATATTTTTAAATCCAGCATAAAGAACTAGGCTAGAATACCAAATTTTATGTTTTTATCTCAACACCTTTTCGGAAATATTAAGGAAAGACCATTTTCAGGGGAGCCGCTTTAAAAGACCGTAGCGCCCTTAGGGGACGTTTGTCAACCTATGTTTATATAAACTTTTCTTCCTATTTTAAGCTCTAGAAACCGATGTAGAATATTGCACACTTTTTTCAGGACACCCTGTATAGTTTTTTTTATGTAGTAACCATGCCGGATAACCACACTGAATAGGAATACCACAAAAAGACTGCATGATTCATCTTCTTCCCAGTATTTGCACCAGCAATCTGTGAAAATTCCAACCACAAGATTGAGCGACTCTCTACCTTTGTTCGATAACTACTTTTTGACGGTTTTTGCCATAAACTTGTTGCCTGGCCTCATAGAACTGCAGCTATCGATTACTTAGATAGTTGACGTAAGGCAGTTAAAAAGATTTTTGTTTACAGTATAATTGATGGGACCTTATTTGCCAGGTTTTATTCCGAATTTGGTCAAGAAATAGCAGAGGATGGTAAAAAAGTGAATGAAAATCAGATTTAAGAAGACCCAAAAGGTCATTTTTCCAAATGGACACCACCTTTTGAAAAACATCATTGTATTAACCATTGAAAATAATATTAACTTTGTAGAAGATTATCTACTACGCACTTTGATAGCTTTCAAGATATATGGAATTATAGGTTCTATTGCTTAAATGATCCATAACCACCACGCACCATTCTTACAGGAAGAGTAAATTTGATGGATTTGCTCTAAACTTTAAACTCAAGAGTGAGTCATTGCAGGGCCGTGTTGTGTTTCTGGACTACAGTTGATTTTATCTTTGCAAATGCTGCAACCTTTAAAGCCACTTGATTATCAGACGCTTGCACGCAGGTATGTATCGTGCAAAGAATACAAAGGAAACATTTGATGCAGTTGCTTGGAAGATCATTATGGTATATGCCTTGAAGACACTTCTCATATGTTTATTTGCTTACTTTGAACTTCTACGGAGGCATTTCTCATTCAATGTTGCAATCCAAATAAAGAAAATAATGTGGGATTATATAACAATCGCGTAACTTCAAGTCGTATATTTTTGTTATGCAAAGCTCCACACAATGTCATAAGTACACATTTTCTGTAGAATTTCAATTTCAAACCGACTAAGGATATGCATAATTCATAGGAATGTAACAAGGTAGCCTTGACAAGATTTTGTTTCGACTTTCGGGAATGCACGAATACCATGACCTGAAATGTTTGAGTCTTATGGATCTTTGTTGTAGTGAGTTCAGGAATACAGAGATGAAGCTTCGCATTGTTCATCATTTTAAAAGATGGATTAAAACTATTTCGTCGATTCCGAATAAGTATAAACGGGGTGTCCCCAGCGCCTCATTTTCTGCTTGGGTAATGTTAGAAATTAGTGTTTGGGAACGAAGCGCATAGGGGTATTTGACCAATTTGGCTGGCCAAAAGTCAATTTTGTCAAATATCTTTTAGGTATACATAGTTGCTGCACATCATAGAACCCCTTGCCCGCATACTCACGATTACCGTCGCTTGGAACAACAAGTCTAAACTTGTCCGTCGTTCATAGCGCATTCGTCCCTTATATCTATCAAGTGTGATCGTTAAGTTGGACATCGAATACTATTTACTGAGTGATTAATATTACGCAAATAATTATGGATCCTGAAAATAGAGGTAATAATGCATATTTTTTTAATCTTTTATATTATTTTTGTTGAAAGAGATTCATAAATAGCCTAGTGAATGTATGTACTATTGTTCTTAAGTTTTATTTATTTATTTTTTAATTATCTAAGAAATTAGTTATACGTCAGGGTCCTTCCCGGTTGTATTTTTCATTGAAAGTTACTGGATAGACCTCTTGTAATACGACAATAAAGAAATCGGCTGCCCTTTTCTGCTCTTTTTCGTTATATTTACATTTTCTTGGAAGTAGCCGTACTTAGCGAATAGTGCAGCATTAAAAGTACTCAGTTTTAATATAATTTTTATTTTGCTTTAGATACTCCAGGTGGCTCAAACTACAGAGTAATATCTAGAAAAAGATTATACGATAAAATGCAGGAACAGAACTTACCGAATTTAGAAGAAAAATTAAATTATTTGGAAAATGAACTTTTAACACATGGTGATTATAGTCAAGAGCAAATAAGAGAGTTGAAGCATAAATTTTCTTATATAAAAAGTGAATTTAAAAGCTTTTTAACGACCTTTCCATTAAGAGAGATGTGGATAGTGACGCTTTATCATTTGATTTGTCCATTTTGCATGCGAGAATCAGATTATTCGAAAGTATATTACACCTTTCTTACAAATCACCTGTAAAAATGGCAGTTAAGATCCGAAGCTGACAATACTGTTGTTAAAGAAAGAAAAGTTGAAATACAAAAAGTATTTAGGGAAGAAACAGGCTTAATAGTAGATGTACCTAAAGCTAATTTTGGTAACAGCAATGACGGCAACACCAGTCGACGATTTTTTGCCGAGTCACAAAAAGCAATTGAAATCACTGGAGTTGATTTCAATTTAATTTATAGACTCAAAATAATTTTGGAAGTGATTTCAAGTGGCCACAAAGTCGATTTACAAAAAATTTGCTGACTATTGTTTTGAAACTGCAAAAATGTATATTTCTTTATATTCGTGGCATCCTATGACCCCAACAATGCACAAAATTCTTTTGCATGGGGCAACAGTTATGGAGAAAGCGTTATTGCCAATCGAGATGCTATCCGAAGAGGCCGCTGAAGCCCGCAACAAATATTTTAGGATGTACCGAAATAGCTTTGTACGAAAATTTTCAAGAGTAGAATGCAATCTTGACATCTTGAATGGACTTTTGTTAAGTTTCGACCCATTAATAACCAACCTAAGACCGACAATACCAAAATCATCAATACCTTTTTTGAAAGAAGCTATTGAAATGTTGATTCCAGCCGATATAAACACAAATATGGATAATTCAGACTCAGAAGAGCTTAAAGCTGCTACACACAGTGCCGGCGGCAATGCCGCCGGGTTTATGCCGAGCGGCTATGCCGCCGGCAATACAAGCCGCCGGCATAAGCCGCGCAAAGCCGTCAAGCATCATTCCGGTTGTGACAGCCTTTACAGACAAAGAAGAGAATGAATCAGACGACGAACCATGCCCCTAATCACACTGATCAACAGCCAAAAAATATCCTAAATAAAATCAACAAAATATTACTATTTTTAATGTGCTAAAACCGGAATGAAACTTATTTTTTCAATATTAGTTCAAGTTTTAGAGATACGGTAATTATATGTGTTCCTGCTGTTACAGTGTTAATATACTGTAATTCACAAGAATGCACGTGCTACATTTTTATATTCGGCAAGGAAAGATGATGTAATCGGCATGATTGTGTTACGTTATACATACGTGTACATTATATTGTTTTATATTAGCCATTTTTTCCTCAGTTGGCTGACAGCGTTCATGCAAGATGTCTCTAAAGTGTGTAAACAATCCAGATCAGTTTTGTTACGTGTGTGGTGATGTGACTTTTGCGTCTCAGAGACGGTCTATTACTTTATTTCGGTTGTAAACTAGGTGATCAAGACAAACAGTGGGCACTCCACATCTGCTGTAATACATGTGCTTCAAGTTTGAGGAGCTGGTTAAATGGCAAAAAACGGTCTATGCGCTTTGCTGTCCCAATGGTTTGGAGAGAGCCTACAAATCATATTAATGATTGTTACTTTTGCATGGTACCTTGTGTTGGACAAGCCACAGGTATGTCCAAGAAAAAAAAATCGGTTATTAACTACCCAAACATACCATCTGCGATGAGACCTGTGCCTCACAGTGACGAAAATCCTATTCCAAAACCCCCAGAATCCTACACTTGCGAATCAGAAAACGAATCAGATCATGGCGATCGAGTGATTCGTCAGGAAGAAGATATACCATCAACGTCAAGAGATCCTGATTTTATACCGAGCACGTCATGCCACCAATCGCACAAAATAACACAGTCAGAATTAAATGATCTTGTAAGAGATTTAGAACTTCCAAAATGTAAGGCAGAGTTAAGACGATGTTTCGGTATGTGTTTTTCATAAACGCCACAAAGACTTAGAACCATTTTTCAATATGGAGAATAGCTTGGTTTTCTGCAGTAACATTAACGGCTTACTGGCGGCTTTAAATATAAACTATAACCCAGAAGAATGGAGATTGTTTATAGACAGTTCAACATTGAGTTTAAAGGCAGTGTTATTGCATATTGGAAATATTTTACCACCTCTTCCTGTGGGGTATGCAGTTCACATGAAAGAATCATATGATAATATGAAGTACCTATTGACATGCATAAAATACGATGAGCACCAATGGCATATTTGTGGCGATTTGAAAGTTGTTGCACTTTTACTTGGGCTGCAGCTAGGCTACACAAAGTTTTGCTGTTTTTGTGTGAATGGTACAGTCGGGCAAAGGCACTTCATTACACCAGACAAAACTGGCCTGTTCAATTCCTAGAGCCAGGTCAAAAAAATGTACAGCATATGCCATTAGTAGATTGGAAAAAAAATTTATTACCACCACTGCATATCAAGTTGGGCCTAATGAAAAACTTTGTCAAGGCATTAGATAGAGATGGGTCAGCTTTTCCATACCTGCGTTAGAAATTTCCAAGAATAAGTGAGGCGAAGGTTAAAGAAGGTATTTTTGTTGGGCCACAGATTCGAAATATTTTGAAAGATACACAGTTTGAAAACACTTACACAGGTATGGAAAAAACTGCTTGGAATGATTTCCGTCTGGTGGTCACTAATTTCTTGGGAAATAGAAAAGCTGACAACTATAAAACCCTTATCAAAAATATGCTGTCATCGTATCAAAAGATGGGCTGTAAAATGTCTCTTAAGATACATTTCCTACACTCGCACCTGGACTTTTTTCCTGACAATTGCGGAGCCGTAAGTGATGAGCACGGCGAACGTTTTCATCAGGATATTTCAACAATGGAAAAAAGGTACCAGGGAAAGTGGAATCCTTCCATGCTAGCAGACTACTGTTGGACTCTTGGTAGAGATGCTCCAGAAACGATCCATAAAAGAACAGCAAAAAGACAGCGCATATAGTGATTCTTATAAGTATATGAATCTTGTTACTTTTTTTAATATATCCTTAAAAATAAAAAGTTTTTTTTCTAAACCGCAACTAATTTTTTTATTTCATTGTCATTTTTGGATTCAGCGCCCCAAAATTAACAAAGAAGTGCACTTTTCCCACAAGATACAATTAAAAAACTAATATTTGTTGTCCAGTGTCATGGTCTAGTTAATTATATTGTTTTAATTGAATTTAAATAAAGTGTTCCTCGCAAATAAAAAAATATCTGCACTCAATTGTTTTTTTTTAAAAACTTATCAGGCACAAGTTATTTATCTCAACATAAAATAACATAAGAAACCTTAAAATTTCATAATAGCGGGAAAAATAATTTTGGCCAGCCAGATCGGTGAAATACCCGTATGTGCGAAGGTAGCAAAGTAAAACTATTGTTTATGATTATTAGTAGTAGTCTAAAATGCTTATTGCGAACCCCAAAACTGCAGCGAAATATTTTGCGCGTTCCTTATTAAGGGACGTATCATCAGTCGTTCGTACAATTTTAGGGCGCCTTTATGGCATCCTTGATTTTCACAGTCTTTCTTCCTCAGAAATGCTGCGCATTTCTGTTTTTCTTCTGTTCCGTGTCATCGTCAGCGTTCTCCTATTGTGAGTTTATGTTTTCTTTTTGAATTTAGAAAATTTCAAGCTAATAAAAGCGATGATAAAAATCAAAAGCGTGAACAGTTTGATGCAAATAGATATTTGTAACATAACCTCAAAATAGAGCGCTGACACGGGACAGTAGAAATCTAGAAATACCCATGCATCTCTGAAGGATAGGAGAAAATAGGAAACTCAAAGAGGCCATAAAGATAGGACACCACTGTCTGGCCAAATCAAATGACATACATTGTTTAAGCTCCTTTTTCAAGTACAATGTTATTGTCACGGATTTTAGAATCCCAAATTATCAAGTTTCTTTCGCTAACAAGCGACAGAAATTAAAATTTATAGAAATTTTGGATTCTTTTGATGACGATATTCTAAGAAACTAATACGTTTAGTATTACTTATGTATTTATGCAGCCCATATACAGGGTGTCCCGAAAGTTGAGATCTCCTTTTCTTAAACAGCTATGTTTGAGATATCAAAGTATTGCACCATGTTTTGTTGTTGCTGTACGGTGATTTTTTCTACTTTTTTCTAAATTTGCAACTTTGAGGCTATTCAGGTCTTTTATTGTGTCCACGATATAAACAAACCTGAATACTTTGATACACTGTCCGAGTCAAGATGATCTTAAAGATACAGTAAACTAACATCAAATCGATAACTACGTTGTTTTGCTGTAGGAACGTGACAATTGCGGTTTCTTTAAAAACTGGGTTAATCTACCGCTAAGCTTGACTCGCATAGTCGTAGTACCACAATACCTTTGACGCATAAGGGGTTATATGTGATACTAGAAAGCTTGATTACTATTATTGTCTGACCTATAGGCTCTGTAAAGGAAAGTCGAAACCTTTGTGCGCCCTGTATATCCTCTCAGGTTAGTAACTTAGTATGAAAGAACTATGCGACTCTTAATGCCGACATAAAATTGCGGAGTTTTTATTTTCTTCAAAAACACATCTGGGGTCCTTGACACCCTATTCACGTTGAAATTAATATTTTAGTTAACACCTCTGAAGCTATAAAATTCCCACAACTCGCGAAATAAACGCCCCCTGAGGGCCGCGGAACTTTCCAGACCACTCCTTCCAAGCGAAAAAATATGGAAATTGCCTCTAAGTATACGCAACAAGGCATAAACTTTAATTACTCCACAGGCGAGATAGGGCCAACATGATTAATACCTCCAGCTGTTTCCATTAAGAGGATCCCGCAAACTCGTCATAAGAACAGCATCAACAACTTCTTAGGATTCGTGAAACTATAGCATTTACATAGTAAAATTATTCTAGTGGTTGTAATGGGCAGGCGTAACCAAGATACATGTCGCCCTGTGTAACAAAAATAATAATAAATTTTTATTACATATCTT